GGCCGCTGTTACGGGCAATTTAACGTATACCCGTAAGCGACGATAAACCATTGCTTACGAAAAAGAGATTCTGAGCGGGGTTCAGTTGATGGTGATGCTTCGTTAACAATATTTGTGTCATATAATAATGTAAAACAATTGAATAGGCTTTAGATATTTTCTTCAATGATATTTGTTTATTGCTGTACCGATTTTCCAAGTTTTCCTCCGCGTTTCCCTTTGTTCCCACGTTTTATCCCGATTTTTCACATTTGCCGGGAAAACTCTTGAAAAATTTGAAACATGACCTCTATAAAGTACCTCCCTAGTAAAATTTCCTTTTAGGAAATTTGCTATCATTATAAGTCGGAGCAAAAATGGTGGTTGAAAAGTTGTGCACAGAAAAAAAAAATCGTAATACTTTATTAATAATAAAATATATTTCGTACATTTTCTCATTTTTCTAGGTTTATTATTTTTTTTTTTTTTTTTTTTGATCGGCAGTTTTTTTTTATTGCCACTAACTTGACTTTCATAAGCGAGAAATTCCCAGCTTTGACTGTACAAGGTAACAGGGTTAAGGCATTCAACACAAATAAATATCCGTATAATGCACCTACATCTTGGTACGGTGCGCGTAAACTTATTCAGATTATACGGTCCGGTGTAAATTATTGTAAAAACGTGTTTGCCCGCGATCAATAACGCGTACATTTTAACGCGAAAAATTGTATGTGTACGGTGTATAGAACATTATTGACGGGCCATTATATACAACATCGGTATACCCACCTGTATAATAGATAATTTCACGATTAATGATTAAAATTATAGTTCGATGAACCCTTAGAGGTCATCTTTTCATGAAAAAAAAAAAAAATGTATGTACATATCATGTAAAAACATATCACATAATATTATTATTACGGGCCACACTCTATCTCTATACGTTGTTATTTAATAATTAAATCGTATTACTCCGTATATTATACCATTGTAGTTTACAGTACAGCGTCTTTATGTATGTCAAATTTATTTATTTTTTTGAAATTTCATTGACCAGACAACAATAATAATTATTGTATACATAATATTAATAATATTACCTATGCTGTTGTGAAAATTCTATAGTCACGACAACAATACGCATCGATATCGTGAATGGAACGTGAGAGCTATTATTTTGTGTAGTGTGCTACTATATAAAAACCTCATTTTAATTTATAATCCTTGCAGATCCGGAGTGTTTAGAAGAAGCTATTGCAGATTTACCAGGACGTAGTCGATTTTTTCCTCGGAAAACGTTTTTTCGCGGTTTATAATAATGCTCCGATAGCGGATTATCCGCCTGGTGCTGTTCATTTCTTTAGAGTGTTTTCTAGATTCTGACAACAAACGCATAGTCGGTTAAATTTTTGTTGATTTCTGAATCGCCCTGATACGAGACAAAAAAACAAAAACCACGATTTTGTACTACGAACTTACCGAGCTTGACGAGCTTCGCTCAAGATTGTTTTGTATTCTAATGATTTATCGCTGTTTTCGGGTATACAATCCAAATCACCCAATATCCATTGAACTTGTAAATAATACTCTATCCTCGTACTTATTTAACTATTGTTTCACTAATACAAAAATAAACAGAAAATATCGGCAAATGCTAATAATTCAGTATTTAATTAAACGTGTATAATTAAACGAAGGTTAGGTTAACAGAACGCTATATTTTGGAATTTTACTTTTAATTTCAAAAATATCGGTTACGTTCAATAACATAGGTATCTGAATATAATACTATTTAGAATAAATTTTCGGCGGCAATTCAACAACTTTAAAATGTTTTTTTCCTAAAACATATACACTATCGAAAAACTCCAAAATTAAACGGCAATAAATAAATAGCTTTTTCTTCCGTGTATCGAACAATATATCTTTGTAAAATGAATAAATTTTATAGTAAACTCGAACTTTTAATGTTCTCAACTCCTACTATAACGTATAGACGTAGAGCGAACTGTTTCCATTAGTATTTTCATTATTAAACATAAATAAATAACAACAATAAAAATAGTTTCGGATTCGATATTACGTTCGATTGTAATGTATTTGGTACGATTGGTTTTATTATTCTCAGATTTTGAAAATTATATTTATTGAAAAGTAGGTAATGGTTTAGGTTTTATTTATAAAAAAATGGAAAAAAAAAAATGTACAACAGATTATGAATAATCGTACAACACTTACCACACGGGTACTAAATTCTCTAATTGTCTAGGTAATACGTAAAAGTAAAATACACGAGCCGTGAGTAATAATCGGAAAGGAACAAAAGAAAAGTTATTCGAAGAGGCTATAACAAACACGATCGGGGTGCAATTATCCAATCGATTTTAAAGGCATTTTATTATTTGTCTTTTGGCTATAAATCGATCAAATTTGTTAAAAATTACAATATTAGTTATTTAGGTTATATTATCATAAATGGTTTTTTTTTTTTTTTTTTTTATCCACAGAAATCATAAATAAACACTGCGTACGGGTTATACGAGTGTATATAACACTGCATAGTTTCGTAATACACGTTATTATTATAATAATCGTTATGTTCGCGCTCTAAAAAACGCGTTAATGTGCATCGGAAATCGTATTAAAACACGCCGGAAAAATAAATATAAAAAAAATTAAATAAACTGAACTACTAATCGTAATCGAACCCACGTCGGTATTCGTCTTCAGTGCCAATTTATTTGCGCACGGTTATATCCTGTCGGTACGGTTTTACGAACCGCGACACCGCAGTTACGCGATCGTCAATTAGACGCGATGTAATTACGCACGATCGCCGCGAACGAAAATCGACCGTTTGATTTTCGTCAATACGGCGCGACCGAGCGCGGCCCACGTTTCGTTTCGGTACGACGCAAAAGCGTGACGGACGGAACGCCGAACGAAAGGGACGCGGGCGGCCGAACCGGTCCTGTTCGCCTCGGCGCGTTGTAATCGCGCCGCGCCCGACCGGACCTCGTACGGGCGCCAATACCCCGTTCGCCTAACCGGGTTTCCGAGCACGCGCGACGCGGAGCGGCTGCCGCGAGAGTCCGCGTGTCCGTCGCCCGGACCCGGCGTTTGAATTCACGCCGATGTCGGGCGGCGGCCGTGTGGCGCGAGACGACGAACGTTCCGCGTTCGCGGCCGACGTTCGCCGCGTCCCGCGCGCCGTCGAGAATTCCGGGGGCGCGCCGCCGGTCCGACTATCTTTTCGCGCAATAGCGCCGCGGTTCGCGGCCGGGACCCGAAACCGATTCGCGGCGGCGCGCACGGGCCGGCCGGTTCGGCCAGTGTCGTTTGCGCGCGCCGCGCCCGTCCGTGTTTATGCGCGTTTTGCGCGTACCGCGTGGCCGCGGCGGGCGGAATGGAAAACGAGAAAAGGGTGGGGTACCGGCTTTATGAGGTGAAACGGTTTGTTCGGTTGTTGTTTTTTTTTCCCCACCCCGTCCGCCGCGTTCGGCGGCGCGTTTGTCGCGCGCGGTCTCCGCGGTTAATGTTAAGGAACGGGTGAAACGGAGGAAAAAAGAAAAAAAAATAGGAAAGAAAGAAAGGAAAACCGGGCGCTGGCGCGGCAATATCCGTTAGGCGTTTTACGAGGCGCACCGACACGTCGGCCCGGAGCGCGCGGTTGTGCGCGTCTAGGGGTCGGATTTATCGCGGTTGTAAAAATTTAATGCACCGCAGAAATCCGCGGGTACCTGTGTACACGCGCGCGCCCGCCGCATCCGAACGTGAATATTTTACATTAATACAACGGTGTTTTCATTTCGTTTTATTTATATATATATATATATGTTTTTTTTTTTTTTATAACTCGCGGCGCGGTCGCTGTGTGCGACAAACGAGCGCGCGCGCATAAAACGCCGCCCTGTATAATAATAATAATAATAACGATACGTATACGACAATACGTGTGCGAGTGTATTGTCGTAAACCGTGTGGCGAAGCGGCGGCGGCGGCGGGGGGGTTAAAGGTGTGGGGCTGGCGGAATATTTTACGGGGCACGCGCGACGCACTACGCGTAAACGCGGGCGAACGTTCGATTGAGGAGGGAAAAAAAAATTAAAAAGGTAAAAGCAAAAAAAAAAAATAACGTATGTCTTTGGTTTTCGCGAAAACGCCGCTTTTGTCCGGGTCCGCGTTCGCCGTCCGAAGTATCCCATTGTCAATTACTGTCGGGGCGGCGATAAATGACGCGAGAAACCGACGAGTTCCGATGTCCGGCGGACACACGGTCGATACGTTAATTTTATTTTTATTTTTTTGTTTTTTTCCCGAGGCTCGGTTTTTACGATTCCGCGCAACGTCGCCGAAGCAGTGCAGTGATCCGAAAATTCGACCAATCACATATACGCGCGCGCGTCTTGTGTCGCGATCCCGTTTGACGGTTACCCACTGTCGTCCGGGTAACCGCGGATAACGCGAATTGCCCGCGACGGATTATCGGAACACGCGCGTCAGCGTCGGCACCTAAACAAAACGGACAAAACGACCGGGACGCGCGTCCCGCCGAACACGCGGTGCGAACCGAACCGTTTCGAGCTCCCGCGAATGCCGTTTCGCCGTTTCAGCCGTTTCGCCGTTCCGTTCCGGGCGTTCTCTCAACCGCGTTCGCAGCCCGTAATGCCCCGGGGCCCGTGTGAGGCCCGTTCGCGGAGATACGGTCGTATGGCCCGCACAGACGCGCCCGGCGGCCGACACGGTATTCCAGCGCGTCCGGGAGTGTCGGTTTTTTTTTTGTTTTTTTCTCCCCGGCACGACGTCCGAAAACTTTGTAGAAGACCGAGGAAACGGCAACGAGCATCTCCGCGAATGGTGTCGCGTTACCGCTATTCTCGACATCTCAATTGGAACGCGCGTCGGTTTAAACTGTCCGTTCTACGACGTGCGGCGTTATTCTGGGCTGCGCAGAAGACGTGTTCTGACGTCGTTCCACGCGCGATTCTGTTTGCTCACCGACGCGGACGCGCGGCCCCGTTATTCGATCGATAAACGTACGTACGCGTTTATCGTTTCTCCGATTCGTTCGATGGGAAAAAAGGTGTGAAACGATCCGGTCCGCGCGAACAGGGTCTTTAACGCGGTTTTTTTTGGCGAGTTAACGAGTTGACCGCGGATTTTCGATTTTTCGGATTTTTTTTTTTATTGTTTCGACTGTAGGCGAAAATCAAAAGCGATATCCAATATTGACAATCATTGTTCCGCGTGAACATTGAAAAAAACGAGGGACGTGTAAACATTTTCTGAAAATCAAATTTACGCGGCCACGAGACCCTGTTGTGCGCGATCAACAATTATTATTCGCAACGTTCGTTTTTGGGTTTCGCGTCCGGGCGCGGAGAAACGCGATGCGCGCACTCCGAACGGTACGGACAATAATTGTATCGCGCCCCGTGTGGGAAACGAACGGCGTCGGCGGCCGTACCGGTACGCACGCGGGCGCGTCGTGTTGCCGTTGAGCGGAACAAAATCTCGGCCGGTGATAAAAAAAAAAAACCGGACCGTCCGGAAAACTTAATAATAAAAACCGAAATTATTACTTTTCGCCCTTCCCTGCCCCCCCACCCCTGCACCACCCGCCGCGCCCCGCTCGTATTCGTTTCTCCGGCGCGTCCGACCGGCAAACACAATAACCCGCGCGCCCAGAGCGATACGGGCGTATTGTGGTACGCGGGAGCGACTACTGCGTAAGCGCGCGCGTCCGAGTGTAATATTGTATATTATTGTATTGTATGCACAGTAGCCGCGCGTACGTATACAATATATACGCGCACGCGGATAATAATGTACCGATAATAATAAAAACCCGGCGCGTCCCCGGGGCCGCGGTGGCGGCGGAGCCGTCGCGGGCGTCCGTCGGATTCGGCCCGGCGGACAGCCCGCGTCCGTCCGTCCGTCCGTCCGTCCGGCCCGTGGGCGTCCGTCGCCGCCGCCGTCCGTCCGGCGCGCGGCGTTCAATGTAAACAAAGCCGTAACGAATGCCGCGCGCCGCTGTCACCGCGGACGGGCGCGCGTTCGCGTGCGTGCGCGCGTACGTATGCGTATACGTACAATACGTACCGTACGCAACGCCTGTACATAATACGGGTACGTGACGTACGGATAAAATTGGTTTTATTTATTTTTTTTTTTTTTTTTTTTTTTCTTTTTTTTTTTGTATTCTCATTTTTCCTCCCGTTCCCCGCGTTGCACCCGCGATGTACAATGCACCGTGTACTTATTATTATCATTATCATTATTATCGTCGTTGTTATTATTATTACGACGCGGGCATACGTATCGAATTTTTCGATGTCCATTATACGCGCACACGTGTATAACGCGTATCGTGTTGTTATACAGCGTGTTCCACGCCGACAAGCGCGCTGGCAACCGAAATACGTATCGAGTGGAACTTTTCTTTTCTTTTCTTATTTTCCCCCGATCCTAAGAGGACAGTACTGTGTATATACATCACAAGTTATGACGCGCAGCGTGTAATCGTTTGTTGGAAACGCTCCATACAAGCGGTGCGCACACGTTAAACATATTCGAGTATTTTGTTTTTTTTTTTTTTTTTTTT